AATGTACTGTAAACGTATATGATGTCATATTGTCAAACAGACTAGTGTTAAATAGTAAAAGCAGCCGTGCAAAGTGATAGAAGTGTGGCATAAGTGTGTAGGGAAGAAGACGGACTAGAGCAGCAGAGGAGGAAGCATGAGTGGATGAGTGGACATGAGACACACTCTGCTCGTCTCGCTGTTTCAGACCCATATCACTTTTACATGTTGTCTTTTCCTGAGGCCTTAAAGACACATGTGTCAGAACCACTTCATATTTCATGAACCATTAACACTTCTACAGACTTGGAAGCGTTGGTCTTTACTGCCTCTTTTATCTACGCCCTCTGCGACATGTCGACTCTCGCCATCACTGCAGCAGAAGCACAGTTCTGAAGGAACAAGCCTATTGTAGATTGACTTCCTGCGTCCTGGGGCCTCTCTGCAGCTGAGGGGCCCGGAGGCCCTGGGGCCTCTCTGCAGCTGAGGGGCCCGGAGGCCCTGGGGCCTCTCTACAGCTGAGGGGCCCGGAGGCCCTGGGGCCTCTCTGCAGCTGAGGGGCCCGGAGGCCCTGGGGCCTCTCTGCAGCTGAGGGGCCCGGAGGCCCTGGGGCCTTCAGACACTCACAACTGTTGCTTCTACATCACCAGACTCCTGTTGAATGTGCACAGAGGAGTGAATGGAAAGTGTCCTTGTGTTTACAGACTCTCAGGATGTGTGGTCTCTGAGAGGGGCGGAGCTGCTCTGGCCTCTGCTCTAAGCTCCGCCCACTCTCATCTGACAGAGTTAGACCTGAGCTACAACCATCCAGGAGCCTCAGCAGAGGTCCTGACCGCTGTACGGGACCACCCCCACTACCCCCTGCACACACTCAGGTGAGCACACTGCCCAGACTCTCTCTGTTCAAGTATTCACTGTGTATTTCTTCAATCATTCATTCTGTCTTTCTTTTGAATAAGAACTAGTGCGTATCTCCACGGCAACAAGACAACAGTGTTTCAACTGAAACTATTTGAATTCAACACAATTCTGAGCAAAAACATCTATCGCTGAACTGAAATATAAACAATCTGTTTTTGACTTAATGATCCGTCACAAAGTATGTATGTAGCCAACCTGCATGTGGAAGCCTGATCCTGTCAGAGCTCAGGAGCTAAGCAGGGCAGGGCCTGGATAGTACTGTGATGGGAGACCTCTGGTAAATGAATAATGTCTGTGAAGCAGTAAATAAGTTTGATGGATTATTATTATTGTTAATCACACATCAGTTCATAAATCACAGAAGAAAGATCACTATGATAAGAAGAAATGTTTTGGCCGACAGTAAGAGGTTAAACTGGAGACGTTCTTTTGTAGAAAACACTGAGGCTCAATAGAAAATGTTGATGATTGAATGATCACAGACATAATCTCTGTTTATTGAGTCTTTTTGAGGCTCCATCTCTGCAGTTCAATCACAAATCCTCCAAAAGCATTTGGTCCAGAGAATCCTGAAGGCCACACATCCTGTAGTTTTAGCACCTTCCTCTGGTCAGATTGAAGTCGACAGATAAACAACATTATTCCTCAGTTTTGTCACAGTCTGTGTTTGGATCTTATTGTGAGTCTTGTTCCATGTGTGAGTGACCTGTGTGTTACAGGCTGGACCCGGCTGGAGAGAGGTGGATGGTCACAGGTCCAAGGAAGTGTGAGTAAACAGGAAGTGATGTCATAAGTTAGAATGTTTAGTCCTCCTCCATCTGTGCCTTTTCTCTTCATTGACCTGTATGTTGGTGGTCTGTCCACGAGGACCATCCACATTCATTAGTGAAGGAACGGTTTAAAGTCTGAGATTGAGATGTTCCTCAGAGGGAGTGCTCCTATTGAGATGGAGCGACAGCTCCTTATGGTCCACCTCAAGAGCAGATCAATGATAAGGAGAAGAAAGGATCAGGAAGGACATGGAGGTGTTTAGTCAGAGACACATCTGGGTCTGATTTTGGGTAAATACTTTCTTGATCCCTGATGGAGAAATGCAGGTGTCCAGCAGCAGAAACACATCCATCCAAACAAACAAATAAATGCATCATTCTAAAAGTGACTACAATAGTAATAAAGTGCAGCAGCAGCAGAGGTGGAGGAGCTGCTGGTGATGAGCTGCTTCCTCTCCTCTGGGTGATGTCTGCAGAGTCTGCTTGGTTTGGACCATTTTCTCTGCTCTGAATGGATTTGGATCTGAGTGGATTTACTCTTGATCTGTTTGGTTCAGATCGTGCATTCTCTCTGCTCTGGGAGAAAAATAACAATTGTAAAACAACTGTTTCAGAGCTACTTAGGTCTCGCTGTCGTTTCCAGTGCATTCAAAAGTCATTAATGTGACGCATTTGAACAAAAAAGATAGTGATGTTTCAGAAACTATTAAAATAAATAAATATAGAGAATAAGAACCAATAAAACAACTATTTACAACGATCCATTTTCCTTAGTTTCCTGTGTCTGAACTGTTGCAAATGTAAAATCTGTTGTATATTGTGTGTTTTGCTGCATGGTGTGTTAAAGTGACAGTGAGGTCACCAGTGTGTGTGTGTTCTCAGACTTCTGTGACGTCTCTCTGGATCCAAACACGGCCAATAACACTCTGCAGCTGAGTGAGGACAGAAGGACAGTGACCAGAGTGGAGGCGCTGCAGCTGTACCCCTCTCACCAGGACCGCTTCAGCTCCTGCCCACAGCTGCTGAGCTCCACCGCCCTCACAGGACGCTCTTACTTTGAGGTGGAGTGTAGAGGAGGTGTAGCTATAGCACTGAGTCACAGAGGAATCGGACGCAGAGGAGACCTGGACCAGTGTCGCTTTGGGGACAATGATCAGTCCTGGAGTCTGAGGATGGAAGGAGGCGGGAGGTCTTTTTATCATTGTAAAAGGAAAACAGAATTGTACTACTCCGCACAAAGAGTAGGTGTTTTCCTGGACTCTGAGGCTGGAGTTCTGTCTTTCTCGGAGGTTTATGATGATGTTAAATCCTGGTTCCCCCTCCACTCCGTCAGCGTCTCCGTCTCAGAGCCGCTGTTTGTTGGGTTCAGTCTGGAGCGTCCTGGGTCCTCTGTGTCTCTGCTGAACTTTGACGATGAAGATGACTTTGACGATGAAGATGATTGAACTCTAATTTTAAAGATCTGATATTTTTAAACACATCGCTCAGAGCTTTTCTACTGATAAACAGAAATCATGTTTTTGTAAAAGACGTTGATCATTTGTGTCATGAGTTTTACTGCAGTAAAATATAAATAATCTGTTAATTTCTTTAAATGTTTTATTAAATTGATTCACAGCAGTTTCTGTTTTACAGCTTATGTTCTTATTGAGAAACTGTTTTACAGAAATTACTTTGTTAAAATCAAAAAGCAGAAAAAAAAATACTGCTACTCCTGAATAAAACTAGTTGTAAGGAACGTTTGGTTTATTTTATTTCTTTATATAATGCTTTATTGTGTCATCTTCATTAGTTCACTCTTTTTTCTTAAAGGAATAGTTCACCGTTTTTACATACTGACATATGTTCTTACCTTACCTTAGACTAGTTAATACGTACCTGTCAGGGACGTGCGGTGAGGTTTGTGATTGGGGAGGCACTGACTTTAAAAGTCAGATTTACAATCATTATTCAAATAAAATAGCATTTAATCACCAATGCAATGACATCCACAAACTTTATATACTGTAAAGATAAGAGAACCAGCTTCTTTTAATAATCTCACAACAAATCTAGCTGCTGACTCTGCTCCGCATCAAACAACATCTTTAAGAAGCGCAGGTGCGAGAGACGCGAGGAGAGAGAGACGCGAGGAGAGAGGAGCAGAGAGAGACAGAGAGGAGCAGAGAGAGACGGAGACGCGAGGAGCAGAGAGAGACGGAGACGCGAGGAGAGAGAGACGCGAGGAGAGAGGAGCAGAGAGAGACAGAGAGGAGCAGAGAGACGGAGACGCGAGGAGCAGAGAGAGACGGAGACGCGAGGAGAGAGAGACGCGAGGAGAGAGGAGCAGAGAGGAGCAGAGAGGAGCAGAGAGACGGAGACGCGAGGAGAGAGAGACGGAGACGCGAGGAGAGAGAGACGCGAGGAGAGAGAGACGCGAGGAGAGAGGAGCAGAGAGAGACAGAGAGGAGCAGAGAGACGGAGACGCGAGGAGCAGAGAGAGACGGAGACGCGAGGAGAGAGAGACGCGAGGAGAGAGAGACGCGAGGAACATAAACAATAATTTAAACAAGTTGCAGAACTCTTGAGCAGTGTTTGAATCAGTGTTTTTCGGAAAAGCACTACTTTGCCGGTATCTGTCAATGTTCAACATAAAACACAGATTAACAAACTCCTCCCCCGCAGCCGGACTAACCTCGTAAGTCCAGTGGTGGTCTCCCAGTCTATATTAATTCTTTCTTTGTTTGAAAGTCCAATTGAGAAAAAAAATCTTCATTCAAATCATCCATTTTCCAGCAAAAGAAATAGCATTTTGGGCTGATTGTTTGTTAGCAACTCTGGTATGAACTTTATGCTCACTATCACCCCTAGCGGTGAGGCACAGATACCGCCTGCCTCACGCCAAGCTTTTTCCTTGTGTGTTCATCTACGATCAAAAGACTTAAACTAAATATAAATTGTACACACATACGTGCAATACACTACTAAACACTAAGAGGAGTTTAAAAAATGTTTTTAAAGCAGGATATTTGAAACAAACGGTGATATATCAACTGCACGAGCTGAGTGCACTCAGACACACACACACACACTGTGAGGGAGCGGTCTGAGGTGAGGCACGCAGGAGCGCTGCCTCACCTCGTCTCTTTGAATAGGAATAACGGGATTTCGGCGATTTTGACTTCAGAAATGATCAAAACTGATGGGAACCGTGCCGAATATACATTAAAAGCATAGGACAGTGGATATAAATTATATATTTAAACTAAAATAATTATTAGTTTCCAATAATGGCAGGTGAGGCTCTGCCTCCCCTGCCTCCCCTGACTGCACGTCCCTGGCTGCCGCTCTCCCCCTCCTCGTCCCCGCTGCTGGCCTCTTCGTCTGGACAGAACAAACACACACACAATCAATCAATCTGTATTTGCTTCACAGTCAACATCATCATAATAATAATAATAATAATAATAATAATACATTGGTTTTATACAGCGCTTTTCAGGAATAGAGTCACACAAGGCACAAATCTCACATAAAACAAACACCAAAATCACCATTATACACAAAACATTAAAATCACATGGGATTAAAATAATAAAAATAGATCAAATCCTTCAGTTAGAAAATCCTTCATGTATTAAAACGTAGAGAAACAACAACAACAATGACAAATGTAATAACTATAGAGTCTCAAAACAGTTGGGTCTGATTCACATGCATGTGTTTTAACCTCTGTCACAGCTTTACATCTGCTTTTTTACACAGAAAAGGTCAAAAGTCAATCAGGCTGAGCCCAAAGTGTCAAATAGTGACTCACAGGGCTCTTACTTACACGTAATCACAAAAGATAACATGTTTTCTTATGAGATGAAATGATATGAAAAGGTTCTAACCCTGTTTCAACATTTCTCCCTCATCCAGAACATCCAGATCTGTGCATGCTAATTTCAGGAACTTCTGGTAGTACCATGTGTCCCTGTCCCTTCTGTGCCAACGCTCAAGTCTCAAACTTCTCTCCCGTACTCTATGATTTGTTTTCTGCCTCAAAATTAGTTTTGACAATTTCTCTGGTGGAATCACTGTCTTTACAAGCACATAGCAAGTTTATTTTCCCAGAACGTTATGTTTGATGTTGAAAAATAAAACAAAACAAAAGATATTCTACTTCTTTCAGGAGATAGCATTGAATATTGGGCGACACTGAGGACACTGCAGACTCTAAACTGCATCTCTGGTTTCCACTGACAACATACTAATCTTTCCATTTACACATTATAAATATAGAAACATTGTTATATTTTCTCCTTCTGCCACTGATGTGAAACCTGTAGTGACGTCTTTATATCTATATTCAAACAAATGTGTGGAAATGAGACTAAACGGTGTAAAGTCCTCACCTGTCTCAAAGGAGATGTCGTTGCCGCTGTGCGCCGCTTTGAGCCAGCTGGTCATCTCCTTCAGCACCGCCATCTGACTCCGGATCACCATGTCCGGCTTCGTGATGTCCACGTCCACATCCGGGTTCGACACCTGATTGGCCAGGCCGTTGCCGATGACAACAGACTCGTATCTGTCAATTAAAAAACACTAAGGTTAGTCATGTGTAAATGCTGGTGTGATTTTAGGCTTAATCACCCAATCATCAAAGAGTATGTTTAAAAGCACTAGAGAAAACCAGATCACTGTAGTCCGATTTAATTTAACTGGATCCTACTGAGACATGACCAACAGATGCATTTAAGAGCACCACCTAAAATGTCACCGATCGAAACCACCCTCCCAGGAACAAATGGTTTACGGTTATAGATGGACTAGAAATGTATGTGTTTCTATGCATTCACATTATTTCAGTCTTGTCACGTGCGGCAAAAGCAAACATTAAAAATGATGTTTAATTGCACTTCAATTTAATTAAATCAATAATCAGACTTTCTTTCCAATGATAAGGCATCAAGACTTTTTCCCACTTTTTCTGTGCTCAACATAAATAATAAAGCCTGCAGTATATATAGATCTTTCGTTACTGGACTTCAATATGAAATGATTCCCTATGAGGAAAAAATATGTTCACAATCTCTTTAAAAAAAACAGAGTCAATTATTCTAGAAATGTATATTTATGAATAACTGTATTTGTGTTCAGTTTTGTCGTACCTGCTTTTGGCGGTGCCGTTCCAGCACTCGTCTCCGGGGGCGATCCTCTCTCCCGCACACACCGTCTCTGGCAGCGTGGACCAGAACTTTTTAGCATGTTTCAGCCTCTTCTTCACATCCCCCGTCTGACAAAAACACATGGAGTGAGCATTTAAAGGGACGGACAGTGACGGTGAGAAAACAGCAGAGGAGGTGGCTCTTACCAGTCGGTCTAAGCTGGTGCCTGCGGCGGTGGTGGGTCTGGCGTCAGGACTGTAGGGTCTGAAGCGTCCTGTAAACGCCGTCTCTTTGATGGATCGCTTGGTTCTGAAGGCCATGCTGGGTTTGGGCTGCCCACAACCCTGGAACACCTGAAAGAAGAGACACAAGAGAAAGAGTGGGACAAGAGTAACCACATGAACAACCAAAACACGCACAAAATCCAAGTCCTGAACATATAGATCTATTGTTGCCACGACAACAAGACAAACAACACTGTCTGAGCTAAACATGTGTTATTTACTCTTGTTGGTAACATTAAGACCGATTTATTTATGGATGTTTGTGTGGATGGATGTGTTTCTGCTGCTGGACCGTCTATATCTATAATGTCATTATGAAACTACTTATTTTGGGTGTTTTGTGTGTGAAATGTGTGTACACAGGTTTGAATAATAAAAGTGGGCGGTACCTTCTGGGAGACTTGCATGCTGTTCTCCTGCATGTTCATGATGGCCTCAGAGATCTTCACGTCGATGGGATCCATGACCGACTCGAAGTTAAAGGGCCCCTCCAGACGATCGGCCAGGTTCAACATGGCGTCTGCAAAATTACATTCAGGAAACATTAGAACAGGGAACGCCAACCTTTTCTATCAGACAGCTACTTTTACAAAACAGACATGGCTTTTGTGGTGATAATAATAATGTCTTGATAACATTTGTTTTCAAGACAACGCTATATGTCCAATTCAAAACATGTCATATCTGTATTCATTCTGACTCATACTGTTTTATTTTTAGTTTATTTACATTTAATTTGGACATATTTGTGGATTCACTGAAGAAAATGAGTAGAGACACATCACGGCCACCAGAGGGAGCCACAGCTTTTCATTTAAACCCAATTTCGAGGCCTTGAAGGTCGGGATTTTGCAAAAAGCAGATGTCAGAGGAGCTGACAGTAGCAGAGAGAGAGATGGGTGATTTCAACCGAGCGGAAAACTAGAAACAGATTTTTATCCGTGGACTTTGTCATATAAAATAAAGAACATGTCTTTATTAAAATACTACATCTCTTTATCCTCCTCCGTTTCTACAAATGAAAACGATATGTGTTCCAGTGTTTACCACACAAAGGCCTTCATAGTTTAGGCCCCGCTCCTTCCTGTCCGTTTAAACCAATACGACAGAGAAGACGGGACGAGTTTGGACAAGATTTTTACACAATAAGCACTGATTCTATGGAGTTTATCAGACAGAGCTGGAAGGAAAACAGGAGCAAATACAAGATCACAGTTACTGCCGTTTGGGCTGGTTAAATATAATGTGGAGCCAGATCAAATGTAGATCAGACAGATACTGAATCTGACAGAGCTCAGCAGTGCGACGATTTCTGAATAATTGGAATTTAAGAACAACAAAATAAATTTAAAAAAAGTGTTATTGTTCTTCTGCATCAGAGATTGAGTCTAATGTTATAGATTTCTATGGACAGACACAGATATAGTCTAAATGATCAGTAATTTCAACATTTATTATAAAGCTGGGGTATTCTTGAACAGCCCTAAATCACAACAGTCTGACATTTCCTCTCAGCGGCACAGACACAGGACCTCTTCTTAATCTAGTTTCCTCTGAGGATTTTTACTAAACACAACAAACTTTGACAACCACATGAAGCGGATGATGAAAACCTCACCGAGGAAGTTGTTCCACTCCGTGTCGAGGTCGGCCTGGTTGGCGAGGCAGCCGCGCATCACGTTCAGACAGTAGTTCTGACACGGCTTCAGCGCCACCTGCCCCGAACAGTAGGGGGCAGTACAGCATCTTCATGGCGGCGCGGACGCAGCTGGGAGACGTGCTGACCTGAGGGAGAGAACGGGGCAAATAAACAAACCGTCTTATTATTGCAACGCAGTGAGAAATGAAAATATTTGCGGACACATGTGAAAAGGGCTGCAGAGGCCAAAGTCCAAAGTCCAGCAGCAGTAAAAACATCAAAACATAACCATCTATGAACCAAGAGGATAAATATGATCCTGTACTTGCCCTATTGTGCTGCTGTTAGATGATAAACTGCATTTCCCAGCTTTGATTTCACTTTTTAACGACAATAAAGTTGAATCTAATCTAATTATAATTTTAAAAACATGTATATTTCGGGCCAAAGGACACTGTACTATTATATACATACATAGATTATTTATTTTTAGGAGCAGGGGTTTCAGTGGAGATATTGAATTATTCAGATAATTCTACATGCATTATCCTTTCTTATCCAGTTATCCAATATCCCTCTTTTTCCAAGTATTACTTAAAAGGTTGTCATTCATTTTAAAATGTTTATGATTGAATATTTTGTAAAATGTAAAGTAAATCAGTGGTGTATGCTTTAAGTAGTGATGGTAATATGAAGCCTTATGAAGCATTGAGGGTTTGCAGCGATTCATGCTCCACTACGCCATCATGTGGACACAAATATAACACTCTTAAGTGCTTACAATGAATGGTGGGGTCTAATATTGATATTGATATTTACAGTCTTTGGTCTAAACATGTTGTGTTTTAAATGATGCTTCATGAATATGAACTATTTGAGTCTTTCAGTCAATTGTGTTGATACAACAAACATATTGCATCCAAAGCAGTTTTACAAAAAAGTGTTTAATTGAAGAAAACACCCCATTAGCTGGATTCATTAATCTCCACAAACCATATATTCCCATTAATTAAATGTATTGAAAATGTAAAACTGATTCTGAGTTGATTGGACTCGAACCACATAACTCTGATCCTACAGAGCAAAGCAATAACCGACTACGCCACGAATCTATTTAAAGATTCCAACAAAAACCAGTTTGTTCACCTGAGACTAAAGTGAAAGTAAAGCTGTGTTAACATTTACCGTCTCTGGAAAGATTCAACTAAACCCTGCGTCGTCAAGATCCTTTTGGGGAGAACGCGTCTCTGGCCACGTCTGCGTAAGTAGAATAGTAGTTTATATTTAGTTCAGATGAAGAAAACATCTTTATAAGCTTTATTTTCCTTCACCTTTGACCAGGCCGCTCCCGTTTCAGTCTACGCACTTTTTATTTAACCCTGGGCTTTTAAAACTACAAATATCTTCACAGTTCATTGAGATTGAGGCCCATTGAGTCACTTTTACTCCTCTTTAATCAGTTTTTCGTCGTCGTTTTCCAACAAACAGTAAAGTTAATCGTCACAGGCCGCTCCCATTTCTTCTCAGGACCTACGCACTTTATTTTCCTACAGTATGTCTGGCTTTTTAACCACTGACTCTTCCTCATGCTGCACTTGCTAAAAGGTTCATACGAGTTTACATGTATTCTGACCTGTTTGCTTTATTACAGGTCTCTGAGTCTCATTTTCACATCTCTCATGTTAAAATGTGCTCGGATGAAAACACTCAAATCAAATCGTGTTTTCCATTTGTTTTTCTTGCAGCCCTAGTTAATTACATTACATTTATTTTTGTGGTGCTCTAAATTAAACAGCAGTCGTCTCAGAGGACTTTACAAAGTTGTTGATTCCTCCACATCAGAGAATCAAGTTCAATCCCAGGAAATGCAATAATAACAAAACACAAAGCATTGGTCCAGAGGGAGCGGGTTGAACAATGTCCATAAATATCTTTAAATGACCCGGATCTTTCACTGTCCTCTGCATCGGCAAAGAACAACTCAGATTCCTGTGGGGAAAAGAGGCCCTTAGATCCAGGACTGAGGCTGTAGACCCAGGACTGAGGCTGTAGATCCAGGACTGAGGCTGTAGATCCAGGACTGAGGCTGTAGACCCAGGACTGAGGCTGTAGATCCAGGACTGAGGCTGTAGATCCAGGACTGAGGCTGTAGATCCAGGACTGAGGCTGTAGATCCAGGACTGAGGCTGTAGATCCAGGACTGAGGCTGTAGATCCAGGACTGAGGCTGTAGATCCAGGACTGAGGCTGTAGATCCAGGACTGAGGCTGTAGACCAGGACTGAGGCTGTAGATCCAGGACTGAGGCTGTAGATCCAGGACTGAGGCTGTAGATCCAGGACTGAGGCTGTAGACCAGGACTGAGGCTGTAGACCCAGGACTGAGGCTGTAGACCCAGGACTGAGGCTGTAGACCAGGACTGAGGCTGTAGATCCAGGACTGAGGCTGTAGACCCAGGACTGAGGCTGTAGACCCAGGACTGAGGCTGTAGACCCAGGACTGAGGCTGTAGACCAGGACTGAGGCTGTAGACCAGGACTGAGGCTGTAGACCCAGGACTGAGGCTGTAGACCCAGGACTGAGGCTGTAGACCCAGGACTGAGGCTGTAGATCCAGGACTGAGGCTGTAGACCGCTGAGGCTGTAGACCAGGACTGAGGCTGTAGATCCAGGACTGAGGCTGTAGATCCAGGACTGAGGCTGTAGATCCAGGACTGAGGCTGTAGACCCAGGACTGAGGCTGTAGACCCAGGACTGAGGCTGTAGACCAGGACTGAGGCTGTAGATCCAGGACTGAGGCTGTAGATCCAGGACTGAGGCTGTAGATCCAGGACTGAGGCGTAGTAGACCAGGACTGAGGCTGTAGATCCAGGACTGAGGCTGTAGACCCAGGACTGAGGCTGTAGACCAGGACTGAGGCTGTAGATCCAGGACTGAGGCTGTAGATCCAGGACTGAGGCTGTAGATCCAGGACTGAGGCTGTAGACCAGGACTGAGGCTGTAGACCCAGGACTGAGGCTGTAGATCCAGGACTGAGGCTGTAGATCCAGGACTGAGGCTGTAGACCAGGACTGAGGCTGTAGACCCAGGACTGAGGCTGTAGACCAGGACTGAGGCTGTAGACCAGGACTGAGGCTGTAGATCCAGGACTGAGGCTGTAGATCCCAGGACTGAGGCTGTAGATCCAGGACTGAGGCTGTAGATCCAGGACTGAGGCTGTAGACCAGGACTGAGGCTGTAGACCAGGACTGAGGCTGTAGACCCAGGACTGAGGCTGTAGACCCAGGACTGAGGCTGTAGACCAGGACTGAGGCTGTAGACCCAGGACTGAGGCTGTAGATCCAGGACTGAGGCTGTAGACCCAGGACTGAGGCTGTAGACCCAGGACTGAGGCTGTAGACCCAGGACTGAGGCTGTAGACCCAGGACTGAGGCTGTAGCCAGGACTGAGGCTGTAGACCAGGACTGAGGCTGTAGACCCAGGACTGAGGCTGTAGATCCAGGACTGAGGCTGTAGATCCAGGACTGAGGCTGTAGATCCAGGACTGAGGCTGTAGATCCAGGACTGAGGCTGTAGCCCAGGACTGAGGCTGTAGACCAGGACTGAGGCTGTAGACCCAGGACTGAGGCTGTAGATCCAGGACTGAGGCTGTAGACCCAGGACTGAGGCTGTAGATCCAGGACTGAGGACTGAGTAGATCCAGGACTGAGGCTGTAGATCCAGGACTGAGGCTGTAGATCCAGGACTGAGGCTGTAGACCCAGGACTGAGGCTGTAGACCAGGACTGAGGCTGTAGATCCAGGACTGAGGCTGTAGATCCAGGACTGAGGCTGTAGACCAGGACTGAGGCTGTAGACCAGGACTGAGGCTGTAGATCCAGGACTGAGGCTGTAGACCAGGACTGAGGCTGTAGACCCAGGACTGAGGCTGTAGACCAGGACTGAGGCTGTAGATCCAGGACTGAGGCTGTAGACCCAGGACTGAGGCTGTAGACCAGGACTGAGGCTGTAGATCCAGGACTGAGGCTGTAGATCCAGGACTGAGGCTGTAGACCCAGGACTGAGGCTGTAGACCCAGGACTGAGGCTGTAGATCCAGGACTGAGGCTGTAGACCCAGGACTGAGGCTGTAGACCCAGGACTGAGGCTGTTTGAACTATTCATTATAATTCCTCTTTGTATCACAGACCTCTGCTCTCTCTGTGCACTGCTACATTTTGGGGATAATGGAGCCTCTCAGTCCTGGTGCAGATCTCGGCCCTGATCTGAGCTCTCTGTGTCGCTCTGAGGAAGAATCTGAAAGGTTTGAAACTTTAATAATGTGTTCACTTTGTCTTTTATGTGCATCTTTACTTTTGTATTCGCTCGTCATTCTCCTTCAGTTTTCACAGATACATTTCTTTTCTTCAGGAAGACGATGAACAAACCTGGATCTAAAACCAAAACAAAATCTAGACCGGCTTCTATTCCCAGCTGTGAGTCTCTGAAGAGCAACGAGCCCAAAGAGGCGATAATCGACTCTAAAAGGTTTGTTTCTTCCTGAGTGTGTGCTCCGCTGTAACACACTCTGAACATATTCTGTTTGACTGTTGGGACTCGGACATTATCCTGGATTTCAAAGGTTGTAGATGTAACAAATGTGAGATGGGCCTCTGTCCTGCTCCAATCAGGGCAGTTTTAGTCCCAAAAGTCTCGTCTGTGTGTTCTCGCTTCTGTCTCCTGTCTGCTCTGGGTCGAGGGGCCCCAGCCCTGGCTCAGGGTTCCCTCACGTTGTGTCTTCATCTCTGTCCAGCCCATGGATCTATAATAATATCTGGATAGAGTATTATTAGCTTATAGCTGTCCCACCAATGGACACAGGGGGCGCTGTGGTACTGCAGACACGTGGGCTACTCAGAAAAATGTCCCATAGAACTCAATGTAAACTAAAACAGCTGGACCTCAGCTGACAGAGAACCTGACAGAGAACCTGACAGAGAACCTGACAGAGAACCTGACAGAGAACCTGACAGAGAACCTACAGCTTTCACAAAGGTCGGATTTTTGTGTCGTTGTCGTCCTGAACCTTTTTTTTTTCTTGGTAAATCTTTCAGTTTTCTATAAAGTCGGCGAGTTGTCTTGCCACGTAGTCGGGGCGACTCTTTTATTCAAAGCCAAGCAAGCAAATCGTCAATCCAAGTTTACAGAGTTACAAAGGTCTCGCGCCACAAGTCTCTCTCACAAGGACCCCTGAATGAAAGCCTCCGGCTGCTCTCGTCTGCGCTGCGCGCTGCCCGACTGACTGACTCTCTCCAAGTCTTCCTTTTTATAGCGCATGCAGCCTTCAAGCAGCGGAAAGCCCCCTTAGCACTAAGGATGACCTCATTCAGGAAGTACATGTACATATATGGGCAAGGAAGGAAATGCATATATGGTCATGGCAGGAAGGATGTACATATTTGGTCCTCCTGCTCGTATGAACTGTCCCCCAGTTATTTGAACTTTCCTCCAGTTTAGCACCGAGGCTGCGCAGAGGAATAAACTTTTACCCAGTTATTTGAACTTTGGCCCAGTTCTTAAGCATATATGATCTTTCCTTGCCGTGAACTTTAACACACTTAAATTAACTTTAATCTAGTTAGCATAATGTTACATAAATCACATTAAATCACATTACATCACATTACTGACCATCAAGATCACAATTTAACGCATTTTCCTTACGTTTCACACATGATTATAAAATGTTATTTTGTATTACATCACAAAATCATATTTTGTATTACATAATTTAATAATAATATTTTTTTTTTCAAAGATTTTTTTTTTCTTCCCACTTTATTGATTGATCAAATTGAGTGATCACATGTGATTATGTGATCAAAGGGGTGAGTGTTAGTATTAGATAGCAATATGGCCTACGTGCAGGACTCTACAAGGACTCGGATTATTTTGACTATGATGTGACTGTCTGTTCATTTCATCTGGAGCCGGGACCTGCTCTGTTTCTCGTTTTTTGAATAATTCTCTTCATTGGTAAATTCTCTGGATCAATGAAATGCATCAAGATAAACCAGGAATTACAATGTTCCGCGGATCCGCGATTTACAACTTTTTACCGCTGAAAACGTCATTTCTGTTAAATGTGTGATCGTGCGGCACTTTCTGTTGTTTGCATTAAATTTACTCGAACGCCATTCACATCCTCCGCTCTGAGCCCGCTTTGTACCACAGACGCCAGGGCAGGACCACAGACAACGAGGACAGGACCATAGACGACGAGGACAGAACAATAAACGCAAGGGAAGAACCATACGAGCGCAGACAGCAGCATAGACGCTTGTTCAAAACCATTCCAGTTTGTCGCAAGTGCGGTCTCACCTTGTCTCTCCCCGAGGAGCAACCAAACTCATAAAATGAAAGCTCTGGTACCTAAAATTTACCCATGCATTTAACAATGCATGTTGGTTGTAATGTACACCAAAGTAAAATGTTGTGAAAAAATCCAATAGAACACACCAGAGCCAAGAGCCCAGGAAGTCATTATTTGACTTTTTGGGCAGAGAGTGGTGTTTTTATTATTATTATTATATTATTAATCTTTATTAAGGACACAATACAACACGGTCCACAGTTAAAAGAAAGTATCCAATACACACAATATATTGCATATTCCCCCATACATTTAGCGCCACTTGATTGCTGAACTCTTGTTAACTCATTGTATTGAGAATTTTTGGGCAAGTAACTTTTGACATTGGGCAAGTAAAATATAAATGGTACTTGCCCAAAGGCCTGCTTATAGCTGCCGCAGTCTCTCCCTCGGTCCTGTACTGCTCGAGTTGCCTGATGGCGAATCTAAACCCAGGATCCTTCTCCGAGGGTAGTGATGCGTTAAATTGTAGTAAAGTTGTAGCTTTGAAATCCAAGGTTAGTGAGTTAGAGCTGCGTCTCCGAGCAATCCAGTCTCGAGCTAGCGCTAGCATTAGCTATAGCCAGGCCGTAGCCAAAATCAGACATGTATTTGGTCACTGCAGATAACCCCATTCAGTTTTCCGCCAAACGCGATATCCAGTTTTATTCAGTCCTGCTTTCTCCCATTCTTTCCAAACAGCGATAAACGCTAGTCCACCTTTTCCGCAGAACGCTACAAATCTTCTCAGCCAATCACAGCATCCTACGTGCAGTACACAACAATGGCAGCGCCCGGGGGCTGGTGTCCTGCTAAATAAAACAGGCTGTATCTATTAATGTGTTGCAGAATCTTTTCATACTCTTCACCAGGAGTTAGCGGACATGTGTGCCTTTAATAAGAGTGGCATTTGGGGGTGTGGTTATATGAAAAGTTTTGGAGTAAAATGAGTAAAACACCTGCGGCTCAGTGACGCAGAGGCGAGCGGTAGTGCTGAGCGGAGCCAGAGCAGAGCAGGGCGAACCGTGTTTCTTCGTTTAGTTATTTTACCATTGACAAAAGTACTTCTACGGGCACTAACTGACTCAGATTTAGAGGAGGAAGACACGCAGGTGTCTAGTGAAGAGGACACGGACATTATAAGTGACAGGAGTCCGCTTCATGGTCCACAATCAGCCACAGCACAGCGGCTGCTTCACCTCTGTGTGGTCTCTATGACAAATAGACTTCCATCCCAAATGTTGGTTCATACTGAAGATATTTATCATTTACAGTATGCCTTTATCTTCAACCACTTCAGGCTTTTGAAATCTGGATTTAGTGCGTTTTGAGAGAAAAAAAATCTGTTTTTAATATAAATCTTGAAATATCAAAATCTGGATTTGAATTTTTTATGTTATTATAACCTTCTGATGCTATATGAAGATTTGGAACAGACAAAAGTGATTTTCATCATATCATTTTCTTGTTCAAGAAAATGCAGTTTTACTCAAATTGATCAAAATGGATTTATAGCGTTTTGGAACCATACTCTTTATTAACGGACAAATTACGATTTTCTATCATATACTCACGTACTTTTACTACATACATTATATTTGTCAGTAAATCCGTATAACCGTGATACATTCATGAACAAGGATGGAGAGATTTGGTAAACACAAAGGTTTTATTTTTGGTCAAAATAAATGTTTAGGCAGACAAGTTATGCATCGGAGAGCCCTCCTCTGCAACCACTGCTACACAGGCTGCTGTTGCTACAGGTATGTCCGTGGTTTTGTGGGTTGTACAGAGCACAGTCAGCACCATTGAATTCACATGTTCAGTGTCCGAGTCATTCCTTTATTTTTCAATAACCACTCGCGCTGTGCTGAATTTTCTATTAAATACTTGCTGTTAGTCTGTCACTTGGTGTCCTGAAAAGATTGTAGGAGCCAGTTCTGCAGGGGTTAAGCAGAGTCCCCTTGGAGGTAATTCCCCTATCATCACGGATATTAAAATAACTCCATGCACGCACCAATATTACTAGTTGCGCCTCACGCGTAAATTACGTGGTCTGTCAACGCTGAGGAGATACAAGGAGGCACTATTTTTGATGGAAAAGCACGCAAACTGAGGCGTGCCGTAACGTGTCGTCGTTCCGTATCGTACTGACACTGTGGAAAAGTGGCATAATACAATTTCATATGGCTCTGACCAGTGCTAAAATATTCTAAATAAATTGGATCAGTGAATTTATTCCTATTCCAAATTGTGTTTTCATACTAAAGATATTTCATATTGACTGTTGACAGTATTCCCTGATCTCAAAACACACTCTCAAACTACAGCTTTTTAATATGCAAGTTAGATGACGAATCAACATCCTTCCCAAAGTTTGGTTCATACTGAAGATATTTCTCATTTACAATATGCCTTCATCTCAAACAATTTTAAAGTTATAGCCTTTTGAAATCTTGAAATCAAAATTGTAAATTTTCTTGAAAAGACTGGGCTTAGTGCTGCATGAAAATCACTCGTCTATGGCCTGGGCTCCTCTTTGCTGTCATTGTTGCAACATGTCCAGAAGTTTTAGCACTAACCATATGGCGTGGGTTTAGTCCATGGTTTTGTCAAGGAGAAAATTAGCACAAAGCACTTAACAGTCACACTGCTAGCAATCAGACATTGATTTACATTTGTCAGTCTGAATGCTGTGATAAAGGAAACACAGCACGGAGATTGCCCCTCAAATCCTAGTTTATACTCGCGCTGCGCGGAGCTTACGGAGGTGACGTGACGCGCAGCATTGAAATTTCCTAACTACGTAAGGGTCGCCGCAAGGAATCTCCGCTGTGATTGGTCCGTGTGTGTGTATTTGGCGGAAGCATGAAGCGGCTGCAGCAGGGACAATGGACGAGGGACTATGGAGCAGAGAGCTTTGTGCTTCGAAGGAAAAGCAGTTTGGGCTCAGAGCCTGATATACAGGAGACTGTGGACGATCTAACATATATATAACTTATAAACTGTGCAGTCGTTTGTTTTGCACTGTTCCTGTCTTGTTTTAATCGTAGCTGCGTTTGTTGCTTTCCTCCTGAACTCGTAAATCGTTCATGTTTGTCTCAGATATTTACCACTATTATTGTTTTGCTGTTTGTGCTGAAAACTATTTA